CAGAGATCTGCATGTTGCAACAAAAAGCCTGGGGTACTATGCCCAGTCCTGTGAGAAATAGTGGAGTATGTTCATCTGTGCATCCTTTAAGATAAATTTTACATCCTGTGAACTAGTACTAATTCTGATTTTTTTTCATTTATTTGAATGCTGCCCAAATATCCCATGAAATAGCTGATACATTTTTAAAAATTTTTAGTTGTTTGCAAATACTGGAAGACTGGCCTACAATCTTAGTACTTAAAATGTTTCTCTCCTCGCTAGTGTGGAATTTACATCTTTCATACATGCGTTCTGAAATCCATGCTCTCCAGCTCATCCAAGACAGCAGTTAGACCTGGGGCCTTGGCATCTCCAGCGAACTTGGAAGATAATTAGACACATAAGGAATGATTGTAGATTGAATTGAATCAGAAAATATTTTAGCAATCATCCAGAGTTAGCATTCAATTCCTTCTGTGAATTAAAGGTTTTATTGTAGCTATCTGTCATATGCTTAGTTAGGTTTTTCAAAGTCCATTTCCCCCCTTCTCTTTAAACCATTTGTTTGTTTAATAATCAGTTCTAACTATATAAATAGCAATATTTGCATTTGCTATAAAATAATTCTCATTGTCTGGTCCTATAGATGATCAAATGTGTTGTCCCCAAACTAGCATTCATTATTTCATGGTAACTTATATTTGTTACAATTTGTTAATTTTTAAAACATTAATTTTGAGATGTAATAATTCCATATGTTTATAGAAGGTGTTGTGATCATATTTGAACTGGGGTATTCTGCAGGAACGGTCAGTGCTCTTAACCACTGAGCCACCTCTCCAGCCCCTTTCTTTCCTTCTTACTCTGGACAACAGTTGACGCACTACTTTTTCCTCAGCACTCACTGATTGCCTCTGGCCTTCATGAAGACGTGGAACTCTGTGATATTTTCTCAATCCCCATGGGTATGTCCATTGGTGTTGTCATTACGTAGATCTCTTTTAAGATCTCTGTACTGTGGAGCTTTCATGCGTAGAGTCTGCATCTCGTCCAGAATACCCCACCTAGCAACAGGTGTTCTGGTCCTCTGGCTCTTACAGCCTTTCCACACACACCCTTCCCCATTCCATGATGTTCCCAGAATATTCGGTTTAGGGTTTGTATTATAAATCTATTATTTGGGGTTAAACAACAGAGCATCATTGAATTTATTCATTTTGACGATTTGTAGAACTTTGTAATAGTATCCATTTGTTGCAAAATGTCCTTTAATATGTACGAGTAGTAACATTTGCCACAGACCTTTTATGTTTCTCTTGAAATGATCAAATTCACTCTGCCTGAATGTCTTGATATTTGCTGTATATTTATTGATTTGTATATCTTGAAGCATTGTTTCATCCTTCAAATGAAATCAACTTGAATAGAGTTTCCAAGTCATTTTGGGGTCTGTGTTTTCCTTCAAATATATTTGCTTGTTCTTACCTGGTGTTGCTATTGAGGTGAAGCTACATTTGTACAGTGAGTTTTGTACCAAGCCATTCCTTTCTGTTTCGTGGAATAATTTTGTTGTAGGATTAGTGTTTTTTTTTCTCTAAAGGTCTTTTAGAATTCAGAATGGGGTGTGATCAGTTCTAGAGTGTTTTTAAAGGACAACAATTACTGCTTCATTCTCAGTACTTGCTTAAGATGTATTCTATTTTCTTAGAAAGTTTGTTTCTTCATCTTCTTCTAAGAACTCATTCTTTTCTTCTAGACTTTCCAATTTATTTGCATATGACTTTCCAAGCTACTCCATAAAAATAATGAATATTTTATTGACATTGAAATGTCTCCTCTTTCAATTCTTTCTTATTTAATTCAGGTATTCATTATTTTTTTTCTTCTGATTAGGTGAAAAATGATTTGCCACTATGGCTGTCTCTTTATAGGTGTGATTTTCTTCCCTATTAACTCATTGTATTGGTCTTTCAATTTTTTTTCTTTTTGTAATGGGTTCTCCCTTAGACATAGTTGGCCTATAACTTGCTATGTACACCAGGCTGGCCCTGAACTCACAGAGAACCCCTGGTCTCTGTCTACTGAGTGCTAAGATCAAAGGCTAAAGGAATTTACCGCCACAACCAGCTGTTCTTTTAATCTTAATATTATTGTGTCTACCACAACCTTTGTAACATGCTTGTTACAGTATTTCAGATTAATTTGACCTTTGTTTGTAAGAACTCTGGGCACCTTTGAAAGGAGAAATGTCTTCCAGAGCCAAAGCCTCATGCTGCCCAATCATCCCAGCATGTCTGCATCACCCCAGTCCTCAGGATGGCTTTGATACCCTGGCACTGACACTTAACACTGTGAAGGTGTCACCATACTCCATGAATTCTGACTGTTTTATCTTTATTTTTTAAATTTCTTAGTTCCTTATTTATTTACTTCTTTGTTACTTTTTTTCTGATTTGTAATGTATTTATTGAGTTTTTGTGCATTTCATATAATACTTATTCCCACCTTAAGCTTTAAGCTGTCACAGGACAAGACAGACATAATGACAAAAACCGTAGTCTGTGAGTGCCTTGAAGAATGCTGCCCTCTTGCAGTGATCTTGAAGAAATATTAGCTGCAATGTGTCTTATCTGTTCAAGTAGCTGTGATTCTTCTGGCACCAGCAATACAGCATGTTACTGGAAATGTCAGAATCCTTGCCCACACTTCCCTGAAATACCTGCTTTTGTAGAAATGCTGGCTGGTTAAATTTCCTATAATAATGTACGGGCCACCTATACTTTGGAAGTCTCAAATCCACCAATATGATTACTGCCAAGGGCTGATATACAATATCCTATAAAAACCTATATGTATTTCCTGTCTGTCCCTCAGTACCTCTGGAGCAGGTTAGACCACATGTAGCCAAGGATAGACTTCCTCCACTTACTGAGCATGGTTTGATTTTTCTTCCCTGTCGGGGTCAGCCTCAGGGTAATTTTCATAGCAACATGCTTTGAACTCCCTGTACATATGTGTGTGATCTTTTTGAGTTCTGTATCTTAGATTTCTTTTAAATTGCACTCTTAGGGAGCATTGCTATGGAATTGGTGTTTTTCTTGGGGGTGGGAGATGATAGATCTCAGTTCCACAGAAGGAGAATCAAGGACAAGATAGAATCTAGCTGTATCTTGAAAGCAAGAGACTGTTTGGACATTGGTGGAACATCACCTCCCAGCCTCAAGGGCAGAACACTGCCTTGCAATAGCAGCAATGATAGTGGATGAGCTTGTGTTTTCCTTTCTTGTGGACTAGAGCTCTGGGAAAGTGTTTGGTTAGTAACAGAAAAGGAAAAAAAAACCTTTTACCTTGTACTTTGCTTGATTTATGTTTTGCATGCTGTATCCCTGACTGATCTTGCTCATTAGGTATAAAGAGCCACTTTAATAATTTGGTCAGAGGGACATTCAGGGCACTTTTTCTCCTTGTCCTCCTAGATCAACTAGTTCCAGGGGACTATGAGCATCTCTCAAAATGTCCTATAATGGTGGTGGGTCACCTGTCCTCTTGATCAAGGAGGCTGAGGAGACCCCACCAGATGGATTTGAACCAGTGTCCAGTATATAAAGAGGAGGTTTAACACAGAGGAATCATTTCTTCCATGCTTTCAAGTGAAGCCAACCATGGTTGAGCAGGATCTTTGACTTATCTTCACATAGATGGAACTGGTAAAAGAAAGGAGCCAGGGCTCCTCCCAAGCTCATGTGAGCCCTGAGGAACAGATCCTCAAATGACCTTAAGAGTAAAACTAAATCTGTTTATCTGGACCAACTATATGGCTTTAAACACCCCAAAGGAAAGTATAACCAAAGATTAAAGGGGCCAATATAATTTCATAAGAGTCCATATGTATAACTAAAGGCTACATAACAAGCAAGAATGCCACACAGGCCATACCTTTTTAAGTTGTTGGCCAGGGTGGCGAAAGGGATTCACAGATAGTAACCCAGCATAGAAATGGGAAAATGAACATTAGGCCCCAATCTTATCAAAAGGAATATTGACAACTGATTGCTGCTAGATGAGGAACAGCTGACCCCCCTCAAACGAAGACCTCTAGACAGGCTGACTAGATTCACCAGAAAGGGCAAGTACTGTAGAAAGGCTGGGGGTGCCGACAACACAACAGACAGTAGCAGGAATATCAGGGTATAAGGCCTCTAGTGGGGGGAGGGAGGCTATGGGAGGGTGCTATCTGGGAAGTGGGTGTAAAAATAAATAAATAAATGAATAAATAAATAATTTTTTTAAAAAAGTAAAAAAAAAAAACAAAAAAAAACAAAGAGGCACTTTTAGAATTAAAGTTGCCTTTCTCCACCTGAGAGTTGGGTTCTTTACCTTCTTTCATTTCACCATCCACCAACAGACGTGAACCTGACCCTCTGCGGGGGGAGGGGGAGGCACACGACGACGACGACACGTTTTCTTGGAAATTTTTAGTATTTTGGGGATGGGCTTTGAGCATCTCTATTTAGGCTGTTTGTCGTGTTTTCCTGAGTTTTTTATCCCAGGAGTATGGAATCCCAAGGTGAGGTTTCAGGCTGGGTATCTTTGGGGGTGTCTCAAGAGGACTGAAACCAGGCTGGGAGCTAGGTAGGGGGGTAGGGTGTCTTACTAGGTCCAGGTGTGGTCTAAGCTAACAGCAACCCTGTAAAGAAAGAAGCTGCTTACTGGGTCCTGGGCTAGACTGACACCTGGAGCCACTTGTTTGGGATCTAGTGGAGTGTGCGAGGGGCGGGGTCTGAATGGGTCCGGGACAGTCACCTGTGTCGGAGGAGTTGAAGGCTAAAGAACTGATGTGGAGCAAAGTCAATATGAGTAGAGAAGGGGCGTGGCATGGGTGGAGTCGGAAGAGTGAGGCAACCGGAACTTGGGACGGAGTGGGCGGGGTCAGAGCCCTGGCCTGGAGGCTCCTGTGTTGGCAGGATCCTGGGGTATTGAGGGCCTGAAAAACTAGGGCGCACTCCACACCGGAGCAGGTTGGTGCGGAGCCTGAGGTGGCGGAAGCGGAAGGGGTCTTGGCGGGATGCAGAAGTTCACTGCGGCCAGTGGAACCACGGCGGAGAGGTTGGTGCAGAGCTGATGCGGGGTGGGTCGGCGAGGGCCCAGCAGGTCAGAGGAGAGTGTGGGCCCAACCACGGGCGTTTTGAAAGACTCCTGGTCATGTGATCGGCGTGGCTCTCAACACTGTGCTGCCAGAGTTGGGGGCTCCAAGCAGAGGCCTGTCGGCGAAACTCACCCAGGATTTAAACATTATTTATGCTTACTTTACGCAAGGATCGCAGGTCCCCGAATTCGGTTTCAAATATTTGGGTACCTTGTTCTGTGCATTGTCTTAGATTTAGATTATTAAAGGTTATGACATTCAGTCAGGGTCTCCCTGTTGTCCCAGCTGGCCTGGAACTCACTATTCAGACCAGGATGGCCTTGAACTCACGGAGATCCAACAGGTCTCTGCCTCTGCCTCCGGAGTGCTCAGGTTAAAGGCCTCCTCCACACCAGGCTTGTGTGCACTATTTAAATTAATGTGCTGATGTTTGCAAATATGACAGAGTGATGGCCAGTGTATAGGAATTACTTCAAATCAAAGGTTCCTCCCTTTGCTGTTGTGGAAAAACAAAGCTCTTCCAGTATAAATGCATCCGTGTATTCTGGTATCCTTGTTCTACTTTTCTGTATCCAAGGGAGTGGCGTTTGGATCAGGAGTCTTGGCATGTTTAGAGAGCTTCTTAGAATTAGTTCCAGCAGGAATGATTCTAGATTGTGTAGAACCAGAACATGTATTTTATTGGACACCCACAGTTATAGTTGTAAATATTAACACCGAAGAAGACCTGTGTGTATTTAAGAAGTGCAGTGTGATATTTTGTTCTCTACATACATTTTTGAAATTAACTATTAAATGAACACATTTATCAGTTTATGAATACTCATATTAAAATGTATATACTGGAGGAAATGTCACAAGATAGTTTTGAGACTGAGCATTGTCTTGTAAGTCTATTCTAAAGTGACTACTCCTTCAAAATTGAAATTCAAAATTTCAACATGAAATTTCAAGAATTTGAGAGCCTTAATTTCAACCAAAGCCCTCCCAATTCATCAGAAGAGACACAATGTTTCAGTTAAACACCTGATCAATCTGCGTTTAAAAAAAAAATTCTGCTTTCTTTGAAATTCAGATGCGCAACCTACATGTCCCTCAGAATTTGAATGGATCATGTAAATTTGGTAGATTTATACTATGGAGTTTTACTCAATGGTAGAGGAAAAGGAAGTCAAGGAGTTTTCAGTGAATGGATGGAGCTGGAAATGGCTGTACTGAGATAAACCAGATGCCAAAGAACAAGCCACAGGTGTTCTCTCTCTCGTGCAGCTCCTACCACCAAATCCTGGATGCTCAAAGGAAGTGAATTCAGTGTGGCCTGGAGATATAGTCACTTCCTAATTATGGCAGCATTGTTTAAAGAATATTGAATCTACTGAAATGTTCCTTAAGAAATGAAAGATTCATTGAAATGTGATATTTCTATAGAATCCACTACAATTCCATCATAGAAAAGAGAAAAATCATCTGATACTTGAGAACAGGATTGATTTGGTGGACACTGTACCAGGTAAAGGAAGTTGAAACACAAGCACTACATGATCTCAACTATAAGAGAAATAGAAAAAGAAAAGATAGGTGATAGACGTTGAAGGCACAATAGTTTGCAGTGGGGTAAGAGAAACAGGTGATGGCTTCATGCTTTAACTAAGTTCTACTGTTCTATGTCAAAATAGGGTAAATGAAATTCTCCAAGTTGCATTTTATACATTAAAATTGTTAGAAAATACTAATTTGGATACACTCACCATAGGAAAGTATCAAATTTTACATATGGATATATTAATAACTGACTAAATCAATCTCCCATGTATATGTCTAACAAACTATCAGGGATACCTCATAAGTATATAAAATATCATTTCATCACACAATAAAGATTGCATTTTTATTAAAAGTTATTTCATGTGTAAGAATGTTGTGCTTGCGTGTATGTAAGCGCAGCCATGTGAGCCATGTCTGTGGAGGCTGGAAGACAGTGTGGGAACCCCTGGAACAGGTGTTAAGTACACTGGTTAGTATCATGTGGGTGCTGCAAACTGAGCTCAGGTCCTCTGCAAAGAGCAGCCAGTACTCTTGACCTCTGTTTCATCTCTCCAGTCCCAAGAATAGGCTTTTAAAACCTACAATGAATGACTCCTAAACTTTAGCCTTTAAAAGGAACACCTTCCCTTGTGCCTCAGATTCTGTCTTCTAAGCTAATTAGAAGCACCAGTACTATTTAATTTAACAGTCGCAGGCAGAAGACAGTGCTTCTGAAGGAAACCTTAGTTTAGCCTCTATTCCAAAGGATGATAACCGTGTTACTCTGCCTTGTTTAGATAAAGAGGTGAGGTGGCTACATTCCCATGAATGTAGTAGAAATTCTTGATCTTGTTGGCCGGCTGGGCCACTGGAAGGCAGGAAAGCAGTAACTTCTATGGGGTCTCCATATTGAGTGCTCTCTTGCCAGGCATCTACTGTGAAGGCAGACAGTGAGAACGGCTTGTTTTGTTTTCTGAGGTGCTGCTTCCTCTTGCCTTGTTGGCAAGTGAAGTGTATATTCATTGAACTGAAAGGAAGTTTTTCGAAAGAAAGAGAAGACAGCTTATGTAAGATTGCGTGGAAAGGAAACTCACAGGAGGAGACAGATGACTTCTTTTCAGGTAAATTCATCCAGGGGCCTTCACTCAGTACACTTCTTTCTCTAAATGTTTGCTGTTTTGAACTTGTAACCTTATCTGATCCAGAAACCAGCTATGTAGACCAGGCTAGCCTGTATCTCACAAAGATCCTCATGCCTCTTCCACTTGAGTCCTGGGAGTAAAGGCCTGCTCCACCATGCTCGGGCCACCTTAACTCTTCATATGGATCACCTATGTAGCATGTCCACCTCTCCATTTTGTCCTCCAATGCTTATTTTTTCCAGGCTATCCCAAAGAATTCATGACCAACCTAATCAAAAATATTTCGGATTTGATAGGTGAAAATTCAGACATGTCAGTCTTCATTCCCTAAGAAGGATGGACTTGGGTCCTCATATGCCCCTATATTGTTGTTTGAAATGTATATAAAAGTGACATTTTTCTTTTATTCTGATATTATATTACGTTGGTCAACATTTAATCCCAGTAACATCAGTGGCCTGACTGAATGTGCTGCCGGGTTTGTTGACAGCTGTATTCTTTTGTCTCCTGGGAGTTGATTCCCTTGGTTGAGCTGCTCTGCACCAAATCCCAGACTTTGACATTATTGTTTTTAATTTATTAAGAATAAGTTTTATTCTCGTACTTTGTTAGAGATTGAGGCACACGAATCATGACATTTAATGCAGAATCTCTCCTTTCATCCTTTGTTTAGAAAAAGAAACCTTTCCCATTTGTTTGCTAAATCCAAAATTTTCCAGGTGGAAATTCTGAAGCAGGCCTCTTTGTCTCTGTGGGTATTTCCTTTTCACACTCTGTCACGGCACTGCCTTGAACCTCAGAAAAGAGCTTCCTTTATCAAATGTTCCACACATGTAGTTGTCGGGGTTTGTAACCATTTGTATACACAACATGAACAATATTCAGTCAGTGGGTCTTGTCTTCATGTTTCCATTTATCTTCGGTGAGGAGCCCAGTTCTCAGATTCTCTTATTGTCGTGTGCATAAGTCAGTCAGTATGTTGATTCGTGGTGAATTTTAGGAAGGTAAATGAGAACATGAAAATAAATTAGTATAGAAATATTGTTAGATTAATTATGCTAATGTTTTACAAGGATTGTGTCTTCCTGCTGTGGAGGGAGAATACACATAGTTATTTATCTTCTGCCATGTTCTACTCAGTGCTGTTGGAGAAAGTACCTTTTGTACCTGGGTCACTGGCCTCACTGCAAAGTTGTTCGGAAAGGATTATGTCAGGTCCAGCCAGGTCATGTTAAGGTAAAAAAATCTATGTTTTAGCTATGACTACAGTGCATGGTTATAAGCAGACACCAGATTGAATTCATGGAAAGACACAAATCAGTGTGACTTTACATCAGATAAATATATACAACTGATCTTGTGTGCTGCAAATATAGGAGGGAAATGGTATTCCTATGTTGAGGGCTTAATTTATGTGCTGTGCTCAACATCATAATCTTCATAAAAATTTCAATGGTCTGATGCTATTCTTTTTTACACAGATTTAGCGAATAAATTACAGATAGTTACTCCATTGAGAAATATCCTTTTGAATAATTCAGGTTTCTCATCTAATTCAGAAGTCATTTACTCATTACCTCTTTCTTTCTTGGTTCCAGTACACTGTTTGAGTGCACATGGTCTTATTGACATTTTTCATTTTAGGATCCACTGATATTCAAGGATGTGTCCATAGCCTTCTCCCAGGAGGAGTGGGAATGCCTAGACTCTGCTCAGAGGGCTTTGTACAGGGAGGTGATGTTGGAGAACTACAGCAATCTTCTGTTTATAGGTGAGGAGATTTTTCTATCAGTATTTTTTACTATTCTCTATCCTTTTATAGACAACAATCTACTTTGTACATGTGTTAGTTTTGCTGTGTAAGTCTTGGTTCCTTACAAATTAGTGTATTGGGAATATCTGCGCATCATTTCCACTTGTTAGAGGAATTATTTTTTGATTAGACAGCAATTATTATTATTAATTATTGTTGGAGTTAATTTCAGCCACCCATTAATACATGATACTGTAGCCAGAATCTTAAGGTTCCATTTCCATAACTGCAATTTGAATCGTTGATAGAACTCAGTGTATGAAAAGTGAAAGAATTCCTCTGTATTCTAATGAGTCTGTCCTAATATAAAAATTGAGAAGTTATTTGGAGAGTCATCTCTTTTTCTCTGTATTTCCAGTTGAGCATAGTGCTGTGATAGAAATCTCATACTTTCTAAAGAATCCAGGAAGTTCATGTGCCTCTTTCTTTTACACAGGTCTTGCTGTGTGTAAGCCTGTTCTGGTCTCCTGTCCGGAAGAAAGCAAAGAGCCCTGGAATGTGAATAGAAGGGAGACTGTATCCAACCAGGTAGGACTCAGAGGATAAAGGAGGGGCCCAGGTGCAAGGACCTAAGCAATCTTTTGGGTATTCCTCTGTTTTCTACATACTCTTGATGTCTGTGTTCCAGTTTGGTCTGAAAAGGGATTGTGTAACATTGACCTTGTATAATATTTAAGACTTATTATATTGTCCAGTGCAGTTCTTCATTTGTTCTTTGATTTTGGAAGTTTGCACATCCTCCTGTGTGTGTGTGCACGTCAGTCCTTCTTCTTTGGAATGCATACTTTCTCATGCTGCTCATATGCTTGTTCATTCATAGTCTTTCTGACTTCTGAATTCTTCACAGACAGGATACAGTTCCCAGAGCTGTGGTTTGGAGAATGTGTCTTGTTCAGGCACCTTCCTTCTCTCTATAATTCTTGTCAGCTATGAGATGAGATTTCTGATGTCATGACCTTCCCTCTCATGGCTCAGTCTTACCATTGTGTTAGTCTCTGAGTCCCATGGATACTCGACTAAAACATCTGAAGATGGAGCCAAATTTAATATTTTATCTGCTCAATAATTTTTCTCAGTTGTAGATCAAATGAAAAAGGTCCACAATGGACTCTCTGGTAATATAAGAGAAAATAGATAAAATTCAGTTTCAAATTTGAAATAAACTAAAAAGATAGAGATTTCCTTAGTTGCCAGGTGTGCTGGCACATGTCTTTAATGCCAACACTTGGGCAGCAGAGGCAGGTGGGCCTGCCTGGTCTACATAGTGAGTTCCATGACAGCTGGGGCTACAGAGAAACCTCGTCTTAGAAAACCAGAAAAAAAAAAAAGAAAGATTGGGTATGCAAAGGGCACTGTAAGTGTCCCACATGACTCTTCCTATTCAATACTTCACTCATGGCTCAGTTTTCAGCCCTTCAGCGTACTTTGGGAAAGTGCTTTACTCTACATTAGATTTTCAGAATGATTATAGCATTTTTTTGACCATTTTTGTTTTTATTTTCTGTCTTTTTTTAGATGGGTTCTTTTTGAAGCCCAAGTTGGCCTGGAACTCATTATGTAGACCAGGGTGGCCTTGAACTCACAGAGATTTGCCTGTCTCTGCTGGGATCAAAGGCATGCACCACCACACCTGACTTATTATAGATATAATTTTTAAGTTTGCCACTAAAATATTTTGACTCACTGTATTTTATCCCCGTGCCACTTCTGAGTGCCTGTAATTCATGATTCAATATATTGTCCATTCTTCTTTAAAATATAACCATTATGTTACTCATTTGAATGCATGTAACCTGTGTACTTTTTTATAATATAGTAAATTTTGTTTTCACATG